GGATTCAGTACTATATATCGATTCAAAAATTGAACTTTTTGGCTGAAGAAATCGATTCTTCGATTAATCGATCTCAGATCAACATGTCTTTGGACATGCCTGGACATGCCTAACCGCTAGGGATGTTCGATGGTACAGAAACATCGATGTTGATATCGATAGCTTAACATCGATGTTCGATGTTTATCCTACTCAAAACATCGATGTTGGCCATTATCGATGTTATAGCACATGTACACCTATTTAGTAGGTTAAAATTAGATGAACAAACAATTTGTAGTGTTTTTTATGGTTTATTATTATTGAAAATAATAAAACATTTAATGTGAAACAGTAATTTGAAAAATTGGAAAAACTTAACAAATATTTAGTTAATTTGTTATATTTTTGCCGATAATGATGAATATTATTATTTTGATATTTAAATGTTCCTATACAATTATTAATCTGGTATTAAAAATTTACTATCCTAATTTACGATATAGAAGTAGGTTTTATATTAACTACTCCTATCGCAAAATAAAAAAAATGATTATAAAGGGTGTACGATATTCTACTGGGTTTGGTGACCTACCGCTACAATCTCCCTGCAACCACGAATCCAGGGGCTGGCTAAAGGAGCTCGGGGCAGTCGTTGCAATGATAGTAGTATCAAGGTTCAGCAGAGTGTATCGCACACGAGTCCATAGGGCACAAGCACAACACTTTCAGGGTGAAAGAGATCTTGAGAGATGAGCTTGAGAAACACGAAGTATATTTGTATGCGTGCGTGTCGGTAGTTTCAATTCGACTGTCCACAATTGCCGCCAATCGATATGGCGCTTGTATCGCACAGAGAGCCGTAACCCGCAAGATTATGGCTGCATTCAGAATGAAAACAGTTGATCGCCAACCCAATGGAATTTAATAGAAGTATAGAAAAAATACTATCTTCGAAATTGTGTTGCCTTGTACTTATTATTATATACGAAAGAAAAAAAAGGGAAACAAAAAACATAGTATATAAATAATCTGTTCCAGTACGGAACATGCCGCTCACCTTAAAAGAAGTAATTTCTTTTAAAAAATCACTAACTTATAGTATAAATCGAAAGAGAAAAAAAATAACTTAAGTACTAAGATTAAGGTTGTAAGTATAACGCATTACTCTAACGGAAGTGGGCATACCTTTACTACAGGCCGTTTAAAAATAGTATTCCCAGCCCTTAAGGTCACTACACGAGTGACTTGATCGGAGCCAGGATGAACAGCATGTACACGCGCGAGCTTCCATTGTAATGGCGGAAGGTGCTCGTCACATACCACAACAACAGTGCCTTCACGAATGGCGGAGCCGCGATCATGAAGCCACTTGTTGTAAGTGATGGAGATATTCTCTACTACATCTTTTCCAAAAGTGCTGGACCGACTGTTGTATCCAGCGCCAACGAGTGAGACGGTTAGGATTTTCATCCAACAAAGATACATCAGGTAGAGCTGTTAAGGGTTCTCCTATTAAAAAATGAGACGGTGTTAAGGGGAGGGGATCGGTAGAAGCCGAACTCATGGCGCAAAGGGGACGAGAGTTTAACACGGCTTCGACTTGACAGAGAAGAGTATGCATCTCGTCGTAAGTTTGAGTACGAGTTCCAACCACACGATGTAGGTGGTGTTTGAAACTTTTAACACTGGCTTCGAAGAGACCTCCAAAATGGCTAGCATACGGAGGTTGAAAGTGCCACGTAAATCCCTGTTGCAGGGTTTGTTGATTAATTGTATTTTGAACGACATCACTACGTAAAAACGCGTATAGGTCTTTAAGATAATTGTTACAACCGACAAAATTCTTTCCGCAGTCCGAATATATATCCGTACATAATCCTCGACGGGACATGAAGCGTCGCAGAGCTGCTAAAAAAGCATCAGTGGAAAGCTCCGAAACGATTTCGAGATGTACGGCCTTTACGCTCATACATACGAATACCGAAACATAGCACTTCACTATTTTCGCGTTACTTTATTTGCACGAACAAAAAATGGACCGGCATAATCTACGGCCGTTTTAAGGAAAGGACGCGCCGGACGTATTCTCGAAGCTGCTAGTGGTCCCATAATCGGTTGATCACGCGTTGGACGAGCACGAAAACAACGGACACAGCGATGTATGCGTTGGCGCACGATGTCGCGGCATGACAATATCCAATAGCACTGCAACAGCAAGTATTGCACGGACTGAGGTCCTGCGTGCAGATGACTTATGTGAGCGTCGTCGATAATTAAATTAGTCAAAGCATGTTTTTTCGGTAAAATTATTTGATGTTTAGATTCAAATGGTAATAATGATTTATGAATTCGACCTCCTACACGTAACAGTTTGTCACTATCCAAAAAGGGCGTAAGACGTCGCAATTGATTAGAAGGTAATTTTCCTTGAGATATCTTTAAAATATCGTCTTGAAAGACCGATTGTTGAGTAAGGTAAATTAATCAAAATTAAATAAAAAATTATATTCAGGTACTGTAACGTAACCCGGGAACGAAATTTTAACCCTTTTGCATTTATTATAAAAACGAAATATTAGTGCGGTAATCCGAACGAGTTTGCCTAACGACGAAAATCGCATTATAATTTCGGCATTTTGTACCGACGGTACCGTAGACATACCAAAAGATAGTGTTAAGTTACGTTTTTCTTCACAGGTGCTCATAGTTTGATTCTCAACAGGCCAGTAGTCGGGACTTCGTCGGAGCCATGCGGGACCATGGTACCACAAGTCATGCTGTACTAGCGCGATAGGTAGCAAGCCACGTAATGCAGCGTCAGCAGGATTATCGGCTGACGGGACATGGTGCCAGCAACCGGCGGGAACGCGGGATAGAATATCGCTAGTGCGATTGGAAACAAACGTCTTCCATTCATGCGGTGATGAACGAAGCCAGGCCAGCACGATGGAGGCGTCGGACCATGCGTAAATCTGTTCGCGGCAGACGCGATCTCTGTATAAATTTGCTACCTTATCTACTAGCCTTGAAAGCAATAGAGCTGCCATCAGCTCGAGACGTGGGATGGTAAGAGGTACGCGGAGCGGAGCTACCCTAGTTTTCGCCATAATCAGGTTAGAATAAATATTGCCATCCTTGGTTGTAAGTCGAATATAGACACAGCCAGCATATGCGATCTGGGACGCGTCAGCAAATCCATGAATTTCTACCGAATCGATATTATTACTGAAAATGCATCGCGGAAACGATACCTGTGATAGCAGCGGTAACTCGTTTATGAAACGTATCCACGAATTAATGATATCAAGGGGCGGTTTATCGTCCCAGTCTACCTTTGCCATCCACAATAGCTGAATCAAGTGCTTGACATACACGGTTACCGGTGATAGCAGCCCGAGAGGGTCATATATTTTTGCGATCTCAGAAAGAATAGACCTCTTGGTGCATTTATGAGTGGTAACTTGAACCTTAAAATTAAATGTATCAGATCCTGGATTCCATTGGAGGCCGAGGATCTTAACTCTTTTGTCGTTCTCCATTTCAGAAAATGGGCTGTACTGTAGCGAGTATCGCTGATGAGTTGCTGTGCCACTTGCGTAGCTCGAATCCAGCCGTCTTACAAATGCTGATAAGCTCTTGCTGCAGAGTAAGAGTTTTAGACTCCGTATCCTCACCAGAAACAACATCATCGACAAATACGTCATTCAATAATACGGGAGAAGCGAGCCTAAAATGCTCGGCCTCATCGTGAGCGAGCTGCTGAATTGTACGCAAAGCGAGATATGGTGAGGAATTTACACCGAATGTGACCGTGCGGAGACGGTAGTCCCGTATAGGTTCTTCTGGCGATTTACGTCATAAGATGCGCTGGAAGTCCCTATCAGTTTCACGAATCAGTATATTTCGATACATTTGTTTAATATCCGCAGTGAGCGCAACGGCATGAACACGAAACTTTAAAAGTACGTCTACTATATCAGGGTGAAGCTTGGGACCCGTTAGGAGAACGTCATTAAGTGACAAACCACTTGTCGATCTACAACCCGCATCGAACACTACGCGTGTGCGAGTTGTTTCGCTCGATTCTTTAACTACACAGTGGTGTGGAATATAATAGCTGGCACCTTGCAAAGGCTCACTATCAATGAGCTCCATATGATTCAGGTCCTCATACTCCTGGAGGCACGCGTGATAATCAATTTTGAGCTGCACGTTGCGTTCCAATCTATACTCTAATTTTCGAAAGCGAGCCAATGCAATTTGCCGTGACTCGCCGAGGCGCGGAGCATTGGGTTTGAACGGCAGGGCGACGACGTACCGTCCTGTCTCGTCCCGCGTATGCGTCTTTCGGAAAAAGGATTCGCATAGTTTCTCATCAGGAGTGTAAGTACGTTTCTCAGAAAATGATTCCAGCTCCCAAAACCTTTGAAGATTGTCGTTGTCAAACGAGCTAAAACATACTTGGAGTGGAGTCGAAACGATTGGATCGAACGTTATTTTACCTAATAATAAATAACCTAACACGCTATTCATCGCAATCGGTGATCCGATCAGGTCCACTAATCATGTTGCCTAATAAAATGTGGGATATTATATCCGCTCCTAGTAACATTTCTACCGGTTGAGGTGTGTGAAAGTCGGGGTCCGCTAGGTTTAAATTTTTTAAATGTGACCACCCTGTAAAGGGCAGAGGTACACTGGGCATCTTTGTAACTAATTTTGGCAAAATTAATGCATCCACGGGTACAATGGGCTGCTGTTTACCCTTTGGAATAATTAAACATGAAACTATACCTTTTTTTTTTTTTTTTTTTTTTTCGGGTAGGTTTGAAAAAAGTAACAACTAAATTTTGTGCATCTCTGTAATTTTATTTATTTATTCAATGTGTACAGTATTTAATATTTGTTAAGTATCAACTAAAACATCATATATGCAATAAATTAAATACCTGCCATAGGCTGCTACCACTTTTCTTACAAACTTCAAGTTGAGTACAATACTTAAAGAACATCTCAGTATGGAAAACATATTTGAAGTTCTTAAAACACAAGTATCACTGGAGAAGACACTTAATCAGAGGTTGGATGAGTTTGAAGCGAGACTAGAGGGGTCATCAAAGGACTTAAGCCTGAAGGACCTAAGTTCTGACTACATCAACTTCAAGAATTTTGTCTATTCAACATTTACATTACTGCGGCAGCAAATTAACCATCTAATTGTTAATGTGGATGCCATTGAAAGTAGACACAGAAAGAAGTTTCTGCTGCTGGGAGGAGTGGTCGAGAATACCAATGAGAATGTCCGCGAATTGGTAGCTTCAGTCATCACGAAGAATCTTGGTATCAAAAATTGTTCTAGTCAGTCGCTGCAGGTATGTCATCGTCTTGGCACAATATCTAATGGCCGCCCTCGTCCGATTCTCATAAAATTTGAAGATGCTCCATTACGTCGGGAGGTATGGGCCAAGAAGGCTTTGCTCAAGGGTAGCCCATATGTGTTGTCAGAATATCTAACACGAATGAGACAGTCTTTATTCTTAGAGGCCCGCAGGCACTTCGGCATTAGGAATGTGTGGACCTTGGACGGGGTGATCAATGTCAAGCTTCCTACTGGATCCCGTTACAAAGTGTTTACAACAAATGATCTAGAGAAGCTGACAACCAAACACAAAGCTGACGTAGAACAGGCTACCTCGCTTCCAGCCTCAGATGTCATTCCCAAAAAAGAAGGATCTAAATCCAGGTCAACAACTACTTCGAAGCGTGCAATCAGTAAGAAGTTGTGATTTATCGTAATTGTTTCCTAGTCTGTACATAATGGCATTGCACTTTACGATCAGCATCATTCTTGCTGTATTTATAACTTTTTCGATTTCATTTTATGATTTTGGTGCTGACAGTAAGCTGTAATTTTACTTTCACCGTATGAAATATTATTGTAGTACATATTTGGTACGAAATACACTAGGTAGGTAAACAATTTATCATAGCAATTTATGTTCACAGATCAGTGTTGCCAACGGATGAAATAGCAATTCGCCAGACAAGACTCCTCAAACCACCAGAAAATCACTAACAAAAAGATGTCCCCCTCTGAAAACCACTAAAATTTCCACTAAGATATATGAATATGATTAAATCAAAAAAAAAGTAAAATTACGTTTATTATTAAAAATCTTATTGTTGTTAATATAATTTTTTTACTTTTAGTACTTAAAAACATCAAGTTGCTTAAGATATTATTTACATTAATAAATCGTCTTCAGATGAATCTGCATTTTCATTTCAGCCTTACTGTTATCCTTATCAGACTGATATGACTCCTTCGTCCCAATTTGTTTTATAAGATTTAAAGGAATTTCATAATTGTTGTAGCACTTTCCCATTAACTCTATACCGCAGCGTATTTTTTAGAATTGATTTCAAAAGAGTTAGCTTCATTCTGTTTCGCTGCTTGTTTTTTATAATATTCATGCTACTAAAAAGTCTTTCCACATCGGCATTCGAATGTGGCAATACCAAAAGTGTAATCGCAAATGTTGCTAATTCTTGAAATCGAGCAACACCTTATGCATCTTTGAATTTCAAGACTTTGCTCCAAAATTTTTTTTGTATCTTTTGTTTCATTCCATCTCAGCAAATGAATTTGCTGCCATTGATCGTCAATTTTTGCAATTAATTCTGTACTTGTTACGAACCGAGCCATTATATCAACCAGATTTTCTTTGTTGTGATGCAGGGCTTTTTCGAGACTTATACGGGATATTTGTTTCATGAGAGTAATATTTTCCGGCAATCTGTTTTTTATTTCGTCAATCAGACAACCTATAAACTGTATGCACCTATTCCGCAATACTTCTTCCTCTTCCCGTGGAAAACCTTTCTCTTTCATTTCTTGAATCTGTTTTTCGAATCGGAATCCCAAGTAGCATCTTTGGTCCAAATAGTCACGAATATTTTGAGTAAAGATATCTATCTTATGGGTAGGCAACGTTACTTTTAAAATTCCTAATCCGCTAAAAAAAACCACTAGCCACTAAAAGCAAAAATTTGCCACTAAAAGGGGGTTCCAAACCACCAGATTTAGTGGAAAATCCACTAAGGTGGCAACACTGTCACAGACTACTAAGAGGATACTATCTATGTTATAGTCAAACGTCAATATCATACAATTATTTTTATTAAGACATTGGCCTGGATTCTTGGTTTTTAAGCCATGGTTTCATTTCATTTGTATATAATTTTCGTATCTTAACCATTAGATTGTATTCAATGGTAGCGTTTTATTCTCAGTTTAATCTTTTCATAATTATTAATATATTTTAAATTAAATGTACAATATACTTTTGTGTCTTGTATAAATGTAAAATAGTAAACGATCACGGCCTTACTTATAATTGTGTTTATCACTCACTTAAGTTAGTCATTAACATTATAATATATGTCTTTCTATTGTCCTTTGTTGTATAGAAGATGAGCACAACATTAATTATCTTTTAATTTGACCAAGTGAAATATGAGTAAGACATCATTGCTATTTCATTGGACTGTTTAAAACATTTGTGCTAATCTTCTTTTTATATGTAAACTTGATTAATAATTTTTAAGGCAGACCGGCAGGTAAAACAAATAGTGATTAATTAACTTTTTATATTTCATAAAAGTTTCATTATTTTAATATTTATACTCATAAATATAGTATTTAGTATATATAAAATTTATTACATATATAGGTATACATATATATTATACAACATTATTTATTATTACATATACCCTATATATTTATTTTTTGCTATTATTAATAATAATAGATTAAATGTCATCGGATGAAGACTCATTTTATTCTGCATGTTCTTCTTTTAACGTTACCTCACCCGCAGACGATTCTTTTATCGATAACGTGAGTAATTATTTGCACACGAAATTTGCCTCTACAAATTGTTTAAATGTATGCCATATAAATGCGCAAAGCATCCCTGCCCATTACTCAGATCTACTTGACATATTTTCTTCACCATACATCCAGGCTCTACTTATCTCAGAGTCCTGGCTAAAACCCTCCCTATCCTCCACGTTGTACAGTCTTCCTGGATTTGTACTTATACGTTCTGATCGCACTGGCAAAGGTGGAGGTGGCGTAGCCATTTACTTGCGATCGGAATATGCATATGATGTCATTGCAATATCACCATCAGAATATAGAGGATCTGCTGAGTACCTATTTCTAGAAGTAAAAATTAAGGGTTTGAGGGTCGTGCTCGGAGTTGTTTACTGCCCTCCTTCAACTGATTATTTTTCCCATATTGAATCGGTAATCGACTCCATCAGCACTGATAACAAACATATTATAATAATGGGTGATTTCAATACCAACTTGCTAAAGGATTCTCCTCAGAGTCGCAAACTTAAAGCCATCATGGACTCGGCAGATCTCTATATTCTACCATCTAGTCCAACTCACCACAACGTGGACACCGAAGATTCATGGTTAGACATCATTTGCACTAGTTCAGCAGAGATCATGTTTTATATCATGATCAACTGGCTGTTCCCGCGTTTTCTTGACACGATCTTTTGGTCATGTCGTATAAATTAAAGCCTCCCAAGCCAAAGCCAGTGATTGTGTATTTACGCAATTTCAATAAAATTGACACCATTCGACTACACCGCGATGCTAAGAATATAGAATGGGGCCCATTGCTGGATGCAAATAATATGGAAGACAAAATTGCTCATTTGAACACCCAAATTCTCAACCTGTTCGATAGGCACGCACCAGTTCGAGCAGTCAGGTTACGCCGACCTCCTGCACCGTGGATAACTGACGAAGTGCGTAGAGCAATGAGAAGAAGAGATCGAGCTTTTCATATTTTTAAAAAGAATCAGAACAGTACCACATTTCAACAATATAAGCGAGCACGAAACCGTTGTAATCAGGTGGTAAGAACAGCCAAACGCCGCTACTTCCACAATAGTATTTCAAACTCCTCTTCTGCAGATATATGGAAGTTCCTTAAATCCCTGGGATTTGGAAAATCACATTCCAATTCTCTAATCCCAAATATTTCACTCAATGACTTGAATATACACTTCTCTTCTGCATCACGTCTGCATTTGACCACCAAAGCTAAGACTCTCCAGGAACTTAATTCCATGCCCTTGTTATCATATAATTCTTTCGACTTCAGTTCAGTGACTGACGATGATACTAGAAAAGCCATACTTTCAATAAAATCTTCCGCAACCGGATATGATGAGGTGAGTAGACCTATGATACTTCTCATACTCGATATTGTTACTCCAGTTCTCACTCACATCATCAATTTCTCCCTTTCTACTGGTATTTTCCCTAAGCTATGGCTAAAAGCTTTTATCTTGCCTCTTGCGAAGGTACCCAATCCATCCCTACCCTCCCATTTTAGACCTATTTCTATACTGCCGTTTCTTTCCAAAGCCCTTGAATCATTGGTACACAAACAAGTCACCTCTTTCATTTCGAAATGCAACTACCTTAGTACATATCAATCTGGCTTCCGCCCGGGACATAGTACCACCACAGCTTTACTTCAAGTTACAGAAGATTTTAGAGAGGGCATGGAGAGGTCATGTTTGACTGTTCTGGTCCTTATTGACTTTTCAAACGCATTTAATTGTGTCGATCACGACTTACTCCTTGGATTACTTTCACGCCTAAACTTCTCCCCGTCAGTACTGAACTGGTTTTCCTCTTATCTTCGCGGTCGCCAGCAGGCTGTTCGGGCTGGTCAGGATTTTTCCGACTGGTGCGATCTATATCTAGGTGTACCGCAAGGCGGCATTCTCTCTCCTCTCTTGTTTTCGTTGTTTATCAATCTTCTAACTACCCACCTTCAATGTTCTTACCACCTATACGCTGACGATCTTCAGTTATACTCACAAGCGTCCTCGGTTAAAATTGCTACCGCTATTGCAGCTATTAATCAGGACTTACAACGCATTTCAGACTGGTCACAGCGATTTGGTATAACGGTAAATCCCAGTAAATGCCAGGCTATTATCATTGGTAGTCGTCGATTGGTGTCACAACTTAACATACCTGATCTACCATCCATTTGCTATGAAAATTGTGTAATTCCTTTCCGCGCTAGTGTCAAGGATCTGGGTTTAATTATTGACCCGACCCTTAGTTGGAGGTTACAGGTGTCCGAGATTTGTCGTAAAGTCACAGGCATACTTCGTTCCATCTATCATCTTAAGTTCTTTCTGCCTCCTTCAAGTAAGATTCTACTCATCCAATCTCTAATTCTTCCATTATTTGACTATGCCGATGTTTGTCTTTCTAATATCTCTCAGGAGCTGCTAAGCAGGTTGGACAGGTTACTTAACAACTGCATACGATTCATCTTTGGTCTGCGCAAATACGATCACGTATCAGAATTTCGCTCCCAATTAAAGTGGTTGACTATACGCCAGCGCAGATATTTTCGAATGCTGTCCTCTCTGTTTTCAATTCTTAATGATTCTTCCTCATCCTTTTACCTAAAAGAAAGATTCCAATTCCGTAGTGACACTCATTCTCTCAATCTCCGGTCTTCACACAATTTATTGCTGTCTACTCCTCTCCACCATTCTGGGTTTATGTCAAATTCTTTCACATTAACTTCCATCTCCCTCTGGAACAAATTGCCTGTTGACCTGCGCATAATACCTGCTAAAAACGTGTTCAAAAGAAAACTATACGAATATATCCGTAACCAACAAATTTGAGTCCACTTACTTTATGTTTATAGTTATTTGTATATAAATTTATGGAGATATATATTTATATATGTATATGTGTATGTATATATGTATATATATATATATGTATATACATATGTATGTGTGTAAGTGTATATAATATATATGTGTATAATATATATATATATATTATATGTATGTGTAGCATGTACTTTTTGAATTGAATGAGATCATCACATCTTTACTGCCCATAACTCACTCTCTGTTCTACCCAAGGTTAGCTGGTAGAGAATGCCATATAGCATTAAGCTCGCCTTTTGTACAAAATCTTTGGTGCAATAAAGAATAAAATAAAATAATAAATAAATATACCTTTAGGTTGCACAGGATCGGTATCGCCTATGCCAAAAACCGGAATATTTATATGTTTACGCGTTAACCCTAAACGTTGCACGCAGGCCTCTGTGATAAAGGACGCCTGGCTACCCGTGTCTACAATACATCGAACGGTTGATACCATTAACTCAGCTACGCAAATATTAACTAGCGCCGTGGATAATAGGACTGTATTCGTACGAACTAAAGGCTGATTTACAATTCTGAACGTCGTGTCCAACGTGTAAGCAATTAAAACAGATGTTTTTATTTTGTACGAATGAATATCTATCTTGTGGAGAAAGATTTAGAAACTGTGAACATTTACTTAATATATTATGATGACCGTTGCAATGTAAACAAGTTCTAACCTTATTACCATTACTTTTAGATCGAGACTGCTCTATAGGTACATTAAGGTTAGTAATCAAAGAGCGTCGAGCTGTAGGCACCGTACCGTCGCTTGCGTTGTTGCTCCGGCCCGAGAATTTTACTGAACTACCCACATTTGCCGATGGTTTCTTAGCGGAATGTACGTTTGAACTCGTAGAAATAGTTATTTCGTCAGCGGAAATTTCCCGTTCGAGGAAAGAAATTAACGCGCATACGTCTGGAATTTCGGATGACTTACTCAATGAACGTTCGAATGTTCTTCTAATTGTGAGCGGAATTTTACGCAACAAAATATTTAATAGTATAAAACTCCATTGAGCTATTGGAAAATTCATAACTTCAAGCGCCTTGATATTCTCTTGATAGATATTTAGTAAATTTCGTACACTATGACTTAACCTATCAGAACAAGGTTCAATATCCAGAATTTTGTCAAGGTGTTTTGATGCAATAATTCTTTTATTATCATAACGCGACAAAATATCTAAGGCTACAAGGTAGTTTTCATCGGTGATAGGAATAGATTTAATAAGATTATGTGGCTCGTTTTTAACTGCAAGTAGTAAATATCTAAACTTTAGATATTTACTACTTGCAGTTAAATTATCTAAACTTTAGACCTCGGATGCTTGAAATGACCGACTCGTGCGGCGCTGCTGTTCATCCTCCTTTTTTTAATTATTTAAATGAGTAACAATAGTATAATATAAATCTTTAAAATCATTGCGAATTTTAATCTGTTCCTCTTTATTAAATGATTTTATTTTAATGAGCGTTTTCTCAATCTTTGTTTGAATTTTATTGAATTTTCTTTGGTGAGCAGCTAAATCAATAGTTCGCAAAAGAAAATGTTGTTGATTTGTCGCTGCGAGCTGAATAATACGATTAAGCTCATCAAGAATTAAATCTCTTTCGAAAATATCTTGTTCACACGGCGATTCGTCGTCCGACATTTTGCGTTACAGAATGGCGGATTAGAATTTTACCACGTAAAAGAAATGAGTATGTAATACTGCAATAATTTTTTTTACAAGACAATACAAACTGGAAGATATTTATTCGGATTGAATGATCAAAAATGTTTAATTCGGATCGAATGACCAAAATGTTTATGTACGATATTCTACTGGGTTTGGTGACCTACCGCTACAATCTCCCTACAACCACGAATCCAGGGGCTGGCTAAAGGAGCTCGGGGCAGTCGTTGCAATGATAGTAGTATCAAGGTTCAGCAGAGTGTATCGCACACGAGTCCATAGGGCACAAGCACAACACTTTCAGGGTGAAAGAGATCTTGAGAGATGAGCTTGAGAAACACGAAGTATATTTGTATGCGTGCGTGTCGGTAGTTTCAATTCGACTGTCCACAATTGCCGCCAATCGATATGGCGCTTGTATCGCACAGAGAGCCGTAACCCGCAAGATTATGGCTGCATTCAGAATGAAAACAGTTGATCGCCAACCCAATGAATTTAATAGAATGAAATGAGATAGAGCGGTGTGATTATTTGTCCCTTTCTCCGTGCCGGTTTTTTTGTTTAGCAAACTCCACAGATTGCTAAAAAACTTTAACAGTGTAGCGATTTAAGGAGTTTACAAGTTGTTTTAAGTGAGAAAAAAGTGTTTCGTGAGTTTAAGATTGGTGAATCTTGTTCAGTTCAGTTCTTAGTACAATTAAAATTTTTATCTAAATGTGTTTAAAAGTCATAAAGATTATTGTATAACCAAAAAAAAAATTCGTTATCGTCCTTTCTCACTCGAGGCCACGCCGATCATTAGTCTATAGGTTTCTCTGTCTACGGTTTAAGGTGTGGTAACATCGATGTTAAAACATCGATGTTTTAATTTCTAACATCGATGATCATCGAACATCCCTATCCCTACTAACCGCTTCACCTCACCGCCACGCCATTTTGTGAACTTTGGCGTCAGTGTAAGAGAATTTAGTTCAATCAATCATAAGTATTCGTTATTAAAATATAAGTAAGCTACTGTATTGCCTTTTGTGACCTAAAGTGTGATTATTAATTAATGTTTATGAAGTAACAAGTTATATCGGTAAATCACTTATTTTAACTAAATGCAAAGACGCCATCTCATGTGCGATTGCGTTCAATAGTTCAACATTCTTATATTAGTTTTGTTTTATTTTACAGATAATGTCTCGTTACGGTGATTGCAAGGTGTATGTCGGTGATTTAGGTAATAACGCAAGTAAACCAGAACTTGAGGACGCCTTTTCATACTATGGCCCTTTAAGAAACGTGTGGGTAGCTAGGAATCCACCTGGCTTTGCTTTTGTGGAATTTGAAGATCCTCGTGACGCGGAAGATGCGGTAAGTAAAAGAAACGACAACTGCATCATCGTTATCGTCCTCTTCATTACCATCATCATTGTTACAATCGTCGTCATTACAGCTCTTCACAAGTATAGGCCTCCTTTGCCCTTCCTAATTTGCATAAAACACGGTTCTGAACTTCCTGTATCCATCGTCTGAAGGAGTTTTGATTAACTACTTTACGATTGAAATTGAAGAGGGGGCTTCCCCTACCGCAATCCATTCCGAATATATATTTTTATTTTTTTATACTTAACTTTCGTCACAAGTTAAAGTATTTTTCTGTAATATTTTTATTTTTTGTACAGAGCAATTTTCTCTAAGCATGATGCTAGATGTTCGCATATTTGGGGTGGCCTTTGAACCACTATCTTGTTTGCCTAGGAAGACTATTAAAATTAAAACTTTTGTTCAACCACATTCAATATAAATAAAATGAGAATATCATCAATGTAATTGAAGTCAATTAAATATGCATCATTAAGGATAACTAAAAACTGGTGGTCAGATTTTGATCAAATTTATATAAAAATGTACTGAATATGGATTCCACCGAATACGAATATTCGGGCGAAAGTTCAGTAAAACTTTTACTGAACCACATATTCGGCCGAACATTTATTAGCAGGAACACCTCGGTACCTAACCAATTTATGTGGAAACTTGTTACTGTAAAGTGTGTGAGATTAGCCAAACGAGTAGATAAATGGAACTTACTCCCCAGCCACACCAGACATGTTATTGCATCCAGTACTGGGCACTTTGCCGGCACATGCTTATGTTTTGACTATTTATGTAAGAAAAAAAGTATTTCATTCTAAACATTGATATTTATATGATAAAAATGAGTGGCAGAAGATCTACTATTTGGATATATTTTAGAGAAACTGACAACCAAATAAAAATGAAATGTACTAATGTAATGTAATTTGTTTGATTCCAAAAACATTTTATCAAGTGGATATAAATCTGCCTCAAAAACAATGCCGTATAAGTAGTATTAAACCCATATAATCAAATATACTTCCAACAGATGACAAATATAAATATAAAAAAAAAAAAAATATCATAAGTAAATAAATACAGTGTGTGGAAAATTCTAAGCTCTTTTCAATCCTTCCCGCTTTAATTGTATCTTGTATTTCTTATCGAAAACAAATTGTTTAGGAATCCTATCATATTTGGCTTGTAGGATAGGAATTTCTGAGTGAATTCTATCAATTATGCCTGTATGAGGGACACTATTCTTACTCCAAAGATTTAGGGTCTTGAGTCTGATGGCAGCTAAAGTCGCTTCTTGTTGTATATGTAGATGAAGCGGAGTTAGCTCCAGCATCGCTTCCAAGGCTGCTGTTGGCGTAGTTCTTATGCGGCCTGTGGCAGCCATACATGCCAGTCTCTGGTAGCGCTGAAGCTTCTTAATTGTGGTGGCTTCATTGGTCTTGGTCCACCATACCAGAGCGCCGTATGTGATCATGGGCCGAATTACAGTTTTGTAAAGCCACAGTATGATTTCTGGCATCAGTCCCCATCTTTTGCCAATCATGTTTCTGTATTGCCAGAAAGTTATACTAGCTTTGTTGATTTTGTTTTCTATGTGTTTATTCCAGTTAAGTTTGCTGTCCAAGGTAAGACCTAAATATTTTACCTCAGAGGATAGCTGGAGTTTTGTGCTGAAAAGACTTGGAAGATGATAGTTATTCAGCATTCGTTTTTGTGTGAACATTACTAAAACCGTTTTATTTGGGTTGAGGGTTAAGTCGTATTCCCTGCACCATCTCTCCACTATACGGAGAGCCGCTTGGGTCAGGTCGCACACTATGCTAGCTGTCTTTCCTGAGACCAGCATAGTCAGGTCATCAGCATAACCTACTGTGTAGAAGTGATTAGTATTTAATTTGCTGATGAGTTCATTAATGACCATATTCCACAGGAGAGGTGAGAGGACCCCACCCTGCGGGCAACCTTTCTTAATTAGGATTGGTTGAGATTCACCAGCAATCTTTATTATTCGTGTACTGAGCATGCAAACTATCCAGTCGATCAGTGCCGGTTCAACTTTATGTCTACTGAGTGCACCTTTTATGCTGGAGAAGTTTGTTCTGTCAAAAGCACCTTCTATATCTATGAAGGAACCTAGACATATTTCTTTGTTTTGGATGGCCTCTTCAATCTTTGTAATTACCTGATGAAGTGCCGATTCTGTCGATTTGCCTAGACTGTAGGCGTGTTGCTTGTCGTGTAGTGGTAAGTTCATTAGCGCCGACCCCCTTAATTCCCTTTCACACATCCTCTCCATCGTCTTTAGGAGAAAGGATGTGAGGCTAATGGGCCTGTAGGATTTAGGGTCAGTGTAATCGCTCTTACCTGGTTTGGGTATAAATGTGATTTTCACTTCCCTCCATCCCCTAGGAACATATTTTAGAGCCAGACAGGCTCTCATTATGGTAACAAGTCTGACTATTAGGGCTTTACCCCCCCCACTGTAGGAGTGCCGGGAATATGCTGTCAGGTCCTGCCGCCTTATAGGGGAATATATATATGAGAATACTGTGAATGGCCCAATGGATTTTGTCCATCGTTACCACTCTCTGTGCTAAATTCCAGTCTTCTACTGTTGGTGTCAGTATGTCGTCATGCCGGTTTGCCTCCTGGGAAGTGCGTTTTAATTAGGATGCGTTGGGCTTCATCCGGCGATGTTGAGTAGCTACCGTCGGGTTTCTTTAGAGACATGGATCCCGACGTGTTCTGTTTAGCTAGAATATTCCTTATCCTATTTGCTTGTTTGCAGGTTTCTATGTTGCCACAGAATTTATGCCACCCAGTCGAGCGTAGATACCTGATACATTTTTTGTATTCAGACTTAGCTTTCTTATATAGTAGCCAGTCTTCATCCATTGAGGTATTCATGGCCCTGTTTAAGGCTTTTCTTACCTTCTTACGTTTCCTATCGTGTTCTTCACCCCACCACTGTTGCTTTACCTCGGCATGCCTTGGTGGAGTGATTTCTGGACATGATTCATGGTAGCTATCTATCATGGCCTTAGTAACAGCTGCTACCTGTTCTTCTAGGAGCGACTGATCTGCTATAGTATTTATCCCCTCAGAACCCGCGAGCGAAGACGTCAACCTATTTAGGTATTTTGTTTTATCCGTCTTGCGGGAATTTCTCCATGGTGGTGTAGAGGGGATATCGACCTGTAGTGCGAAGCAGATCCATCTATGGTCTGAGCATGAGGCCTCTTTCGACACATGCCATCCCGTAATTAGTTTGGCTGCTCCTTCTGTTGCAAGTGTGAGGTCGATTATAGTGCGACAGCGTTTGTTTATGAAAGTAGGTTCAGAACCTATGTTTAAAATGGTTAGGTTAGTACTAAATAAATATTCAACTAAAACCTTACCTCGTTCATTTGGTTTCTCCATTCCCCAAAGGGGATGATGTGCGTTGGCGTCCGTCCCGATCACAACCTCTAGTCCGGTCCTCTCGCAGAAGTTCACCAGCCTGCCGAGGTTATGAGGGGGGAGGAGTGTCTTCCTCCGGCATGTAGACCGAGGCGACGACTAAACTTCTCTCCTGTGTGTATTGTATTGCCACGGCATACATGTCTCTAGAACAGAAATCTGTTAATGGTTGTGCACAGATATCTTTAGTAGTGTAGATACACGCTCTAGGCTTGTCGTGTTCAGAGCTGTAGAATAGCTTACCTTTTAGGTTGTTTAGGCCTTTAATTTTACCAGCCCCAACCCACGGCTCCTGGATTAAGGCTATGGCAGTCCTTTGAACCTCCAACCACTTGCGTAATTGAGCCGACGCAGTTTCGCTGTGGTGGAGGTTGGCTAGGCTAGTTTTGGACGAAGGGCACGCCATCATTGATAGCGTCCTCCCCGTCCCCGCCCAAAAATAGGCCTGCCAGAAGATCTCGGGTCTCTTCGTCAGCCACCGAGTCGGAAGTGGTCGGCAAAATGCAGTCCTCTTTGCCACTCAGTGAGCTGCCGCTGAGCCCGATCTCCACTGGGGGCTTTGGCTCAGTTGTGCAGGCCGTTTTTTCACTGGACTTGGCGTCCAGTGATTCCGCTGTACCGGTAACCGTGGCTCCGGTATCCATAACTTCCGGGCTGTTTTCTACCTCTTTGCTCGGTGGAGTATCAAAGAATTTACCTCCACGACCCTGGAATTTTACGTATACCGCCCCGCATACGCATGCGAGACGGCGTCCGGCCTTCATCAGGGTCGGGATGTGATCCTCCGGCACCGAAACAACGAGGGGTACGACTTTCCATTGACGTCCGTCGAATTGGAGGTGGGAGGGGGGTAGTGGGAGGGCGGGGGAAGGTGTACTACTCCCCCTTAAAAGGAAAAGTTGCGGAGCCCCCCCCCCCTTTTTTTGAGTTTTTTGAATTTTTAATTCTGAGGAAATTTTATTTTTTATGGATAAATATTAAGTGTAAAAAAGCATGGGGACCTCTTGGGGGGGGGGGGAACCCCTTCACCAAAAATAAATAGAAGGACTCATTCAGAGGGATTTCTGTATCTATTTTGAGACTGCAACGTCTCCGGCGCTGCGGGAAGAGCAGCCTCTACGCCTTTGCGTAACAAATCGCAGGCATCCACCCGCCTACGATTTATTACAGCAGGCGGAGGCTGCTCTCCCTACGGGCCTCCGGCTCTATAAAACCACTCTAGGGGTAGGACAGACTCGTACCACGTGGAGTCGGGGTCTATTGATTCAGTTCCTTGACATAAGTTGAACCTAACCCATTTTATTTATTATCTGTCCTAATAGGTGGGCACTGTTTTATGCAAATGTTTTATACAATTTTATACACATATTGCTTTAATTAATTCTTAGAAATCATCAGTTTTACGTTACGTCCCACAAGCCGGCAAAAAACGGTAAACACACACATTTTAATTATAATAGCTCATAATGATAATAATTTTGTAATTTAAATATAAACTGTTAAATATATGTTTATGCATGAAAACTATTTAAATG